TGTTTTTTTTTTGGGGGGGGGGGGGGGGTGGCTCCCTGCTGCTGTGCACACTCCTGGAAGGGAAACCGGAGGAGTATGTATCCTCCAGGTTCGTGCATGGGGCAGGCGCAGGCTGCCTGCTGCAGGCTTGGGCTCTCCACCCTGCTGCCCTCCTCCTGGGGCCTCCATGGCCCAGTGTGTGGGACTTGGTGCAGCAGGGCAGAGCAGGGCCAAGTGGAGAAGCTTCTTGCTGCTGGGAGCCCCATGCCACCATGGCGAAGTGCCCCCTGCCTGTTCGGCAGAGGTGGCGGTGCACTTCGCTGCTGCTGGATGGACGGGGCACCTTGCCATGATGGTGCAGAGCTCCCAAGAGTTTCACAAGCTTCCCCATCTAGCCCCATTCTGCCTTGCTGTGGCAGGTCCTGCCCGCTGGGCTGTGGAGGCCCTTAAGGGAGGGCAGCAGGATGGGGAGCCCAGGTCTGCAGCATTTGGCTGCCTGTCCACAGTATGCCAGTCACTTCTGGATTCTGGTCTAGCAGCCAACCCTCCTGTAGTTGAGCTGCATCTCAAATCATGCCTTGAACTTCCTGATTTTTTCCCTTCATACCTGTGCAATAGACTTATACTCATCCCTAGTAACGTGGTCAAGTTTCCACTTTCTGTAAAATTCATTTTTGAGTTTTAGCTCATTGAAATATTTGCCATTTTGCTAGACTAGCCTCTTGCTGCACTTCCTATCCTCCTTTCACCTTGGGATAGTTTGCTTTTCTACCCTTGATACAGTCTCCTTAAAGCACAACCAGTTTTTCTGGACTGCTTTTCCCCTCAGACATCTCGCCCTTGGAGTCCTGCCCACCAGTTCTCTTGAGTGCTATCTTACCTGTTGGAGTCCATATAGCTATGTGGCATTACAGACACTTTGGAGACTAGGATTAGGATTCAACATGATTTTGATAAACTGGAGAAATGCTCAAGAATTAATCAAATGATGAATTAAGTAAAGACAAGTGCAAACTCCTGTACTTGGGACAGAACAATCACACACAAATATGATAGTTTAGGCTGCAGTATTGTAGAAAGGGACCTGAGGATTTGAGTGGACCATAGGCTGAGTATGAGTAAACAGTGTGCTTTTATTGGGGTGGAGAACCCGATATTGTACTGGGTTGTATTAACAGGAGTTAATTTCACATGCAAATCAAGTGAAAGGTTTAGCAGTGGTGAAGTCTCACCCGCACTTAAACATAGACATGGGAAAATTAGAAAGAGATCAGCAGAGACTGATAACAATGATAAGAGGTCTTGGAAATGTGATTTATGGAAAGATGTTCAAAGAATGGGATTTATTTAGTCTGTAGTACAGAAGCTTGGTGGATTTGATAACAGTCTTCAGATGCTTTAAGAAGGGTAGTTATAAAGTGGATGGATTGTAGTAGATCAGGGGTGGGCAGTTATTTTGGGCAGAGGGCCGCTTACTGAGTTTTGCCAAGTCATTGAGGGCATCATGACAGGCAGTCAGGGGCAGATAAATATTAATTTTCTAAATTTTTAGGGGCCCCACGAGCCGGATAGAATGGCCTGGCAGGCCATATTCGGCCTGCGGGCTGCATTTTGCCCACCCCTGTAGTAGATTGTTGTCTCTGGCCACAAGGAACAGTACAAGAAGTAACTGTCTTGTAACTAGGGACATTTAGGTTGGATGCAGTATTAGTAGGATTTTTTTTCACTATGAGGGTGGTTAAGCATTTATGGAGTTGCCTTTCTTGAAAGTTTTCAGGACCAGGTTAGATAGACACTTGCCTGGAATTGTTCAAATAAAGATGATCTTGCCTTGAGCGGGGGATTGCACCAGATGACCTTTTGTTCTTTTCCTGTCCTTTTTTCCTATGATTCTAAGATTTTTGCAATATATTCCATAACCAGTATCCTATGTTAGTTAAGCTTGCTTTTTATGTAAATCAAGATTTTGTTATGTTATTGCCATTTAAATGTATATTGATGTATATGCTCAAGTCTTTTTTTTTTTTTCTTTTGAGAAATGTACATGCTCTTATAGGAAATTAATAAAGATTCATAATTGCTTCACTAATTTGGTTTGCCCCAATATGGTTTAGTGCCAAAAATATATTTAGTATAGTTTTAAATCTTTTACATTAATTTAAAACAGCAGAAAAAATCAGTTTAAAAATAGTTTGTGGGTAGAATGATAACAGAATCCTTACTGAGTGATACCTTTTATTGGACCAGCTGCATAGCTTGTAGAGATTTAGACTAGCTGCAGAGCACCCTTCTTCAAGTGAGACCTGAGGAAGGGTATCTTATGCTTGAAAACTTGTTTAAATCTCTCCCAAATATACAGTTGGTCCAATAAAAGTCATTGCCCACAAAATACTTTTGTTGTATCTTTTCAGGACTGTCATGACAGTTCTCTAAAACTACCACAAAATCCTAACTGTCATATATATGTTCTAATGACAGCATTTAACTCTCTAGCATGCTTAACAAATTGTACAATTTTAAGGGGGTTTTTTTTTGTTTGGTTTGGTTTTTGTTTTTTTTGCAAGTTGTTTGCCATGTTTAGGTAAAAAGAACTAGGTACCTGAAGAAAATATGGTTAATTATGTAAAAAAGCTCTGATATCAAAATAGTTAGCCAAGGCATTAGAGGGTTAGGTTTTTAAAGCTGGAAAATTACTTCAATTGGTGATACTGAGAGAGTTATTTCTTTTTCAATAAACACTGTTTCAAATAATTTTCGATATTTTCCATTGTTAAATAGGGCAATATCTATTGCACAGTTGGCATTGTAATACAAGATTAATCAGGGCTTGTTTTGATAAGAGCTAAAAGAATCTGCCTTACCATTGGAATTTCAAAAGTCTTCCATATTTTAGTTGATATGAATAGTGTGTTTACTAGGCAGTATGATTATAAACATCATATATTATGTATAATCAATAAGTAACTTTTACATTAGCCTGCATTAGCTTAAATTAGCTTGCATACCTACTGGTGTCTGGCTGCTTTACCATTCCATCCAGGTAGAGCACAGACCATCTGCAGCTGCTTCTTCAGCTTGACGGTGGGTATTTGTGTCCAAAAGCTTGCTAAGCAGAATTTTTCCAAATATTTGAGTTGGTCTAATAAAAGATATCGGATTTACCCAAAGAATCTTGTCTGCCTTTGTCCTTAGACCAACACAGCTACAACCTACATCCATTAGCCTGTAGGAATATTTCTAAATGTGAAATTTTAATAAATCGTCTTAATAATAAACAGGATTGTCTTTTCCTTCCCTGTATAGCCATATTAAAGACTTCTTGTTAAGCAAATACTGGGTTTTTTTGTGTGAGGTGGTACACTAAATAGAATCTCTTTTATATAACATTTGACTTATTTTCCCCATTACATGCAGTGAAAATGTTGTAATGCTTTGAAAACTAAAATGCATGAAAATCATGACATTCCAACTTAAGTCTTATAGCACATCATATAGTGACATGCATTTTGTTTCCATTTTTTTAAAACTTTAATGCTTTTTTAAATATAAAAGAAGGTAGAATGTCACAGAAGGAATGTATTGCTTGACATCTGCTTCTTGAAATTAACATGCATTTTAACTTGGCAGTATTTGTCTAATTATAACTTTGTTAGCTATTTCTACAATGTATTCAGATTAAACATGAGCATTTTACTTGAATTTGAGGATTGTACCTTCATGTTTTTATATGTAAGATAAAATTAGGTCGTGAGTTATACAGTTGCATTAAAATACAACTTTATGTGATATTTGAGTAAGGTTTGCAAAATGGAAAGTTAAGTAGAGGAATATCCGATAAATTTTGAATCTGCACTAATGGAAAGACTGCTTTTTGGCTTAATTGTCATTGTTATGTTAACTGTCAGCATAATATTGCTTAATTATTTAGACCTTCACTTTTTCCTCTTCATAGAAATTGTGAAGTAATTGGGACTATTTGTATAAGACTGTTTGATGAACACCCAAGATAGCTTGGGGATAATTTAAATATAAATGATTAAAATGTGCATTTTGACACCTTTTTCCTCAAAAGATGATGACGATTTTCTTGTTTGTTTCAGTCCCTGGATGACTTAAACAAATGGAGTCTACTTCTTATAACTCCCTTTATTTATGCTGACAAAATAGTTGAAGCAGAACAGATTGCATTTGTGACAGAAAGTGTTTCTGCTCAGACAGATAATTTACAGAGTATATCTAGCTCTTCAAAAAAGGTAAGTGACTGTCAATGTCTTTAAAAGAATGTAGTTTTGACAAATTTCATTTATTGATATTAACTGTCCAAGACATTTTGAAATTAAAATTAATGCTTAATAAAGTAGATATCTGTATAATGGAGATAAGGAACATAGATGATGCAAGTTCAATCAAGATTGTAACCTCCTACTGTATCTACTTCTTGAACAATAATTGCATCCTGAAGCATAATACAATGTTCTCTTACTGCGCGCGTGAAGGGAAAATTGGTTTTGTGAAATAGGAAGAGAAATAGGCTGGACATTGATTATATTAGCTTGTTAAACTTGGGAAGGTTGTACTTCATTATTCCTGGAGAAGACTCTTTTCTGCCATACTGAATGAGCAGCCCTATCTTCTGTTATCAGTGGTCTTCATTTTTGGTATATTCTGGGTAGAACCTGTTTGCCTTTCTGTGTGCATCTTTGACAAGTTTGGTTAGTAAAGAAGGATGATTTTGTGGTCAACTCACAGGGTTAGGAATGAGAAGATTTTGAGATTTTATTCTTTCCTGCCTTTTAATATGATCTTGAGTAAATCATTTTCAGGGCCTACTTTTTTTTCAAATGTACTAAACAACTACAAGAGTAGCTGAAGTAAACAAACTCTAGGGTTTGGCATTTCTTAAAGATGCTGATTCAGCAAGGTGTTTAACTTCTGAGTGTCTGAATAGGCTTATTAAAATTAGTACTGAAGTGAGGTCTAAATCAGGTTCATCTTCCTGTAAAATGAGCATCAGACTTCAATTTATCTATCTCACTGTGCGGGCCCTCTCCCGATCCCATCCTCGTCTCCGTGTGCGGGCCAGGAGCGATCCGGGCCCTTTTTCGCACCGCGCGGGCTGTGGCCAGCAGCCCGGGCACGCTGGGTCGGAGAAAACAGGCAACACGCTAGAATTAGTCACGGATGCGTAATGGTTGATTCAAGATTGTTTACTTACAGCGAAGATGGTCACGGTGTAGGCTGGACAGTTTCCCAGGCACAGCTCCGCTTAAACCCTCGTTTGAGGACTCCGACAATATTCGATCACTCCCACAGAGTTGTCAAGGCTCCGTGGATCCTTTCGAAGAGCTCAAAATAGACTCACACGAAGTTTGCTAGGCTTCGTGGAACGAAAGCGCGCAGGGAAGGGATACGTCGAGGATTGCGAACGGCGGCAGGGAGAGGCTAGAGGCTGATCAGACCCCTATTGCCTGCTTAAAATGCACTGGGTTCGATAGGCTCCACAGCGCTTAGAGATCTTCACACAGCGTGAAGTCTCCTCCTCCTGGTGTTCGTGGAGTCCTCCCTTACGGGGGTTCTCCTCGGAGTTCTCCAACTTGGGCAGAAACCACCCAAGCCTTTTATACGGCTAGCAAGCCAATCACTAGCCGCCACGTGTGAATAATTTAACGCAAGCCAATAATGGGGCTCGAATTAGAATACGAATGGCGGGAACTCTTTGCAAAGTGCATTTCTGTGCTGCAAAGAAGCAATGCACACTGCAAAGAAAGCTACAATTTGGCGGGAAAATAATTCAGTGGTGCCAAAGTGCACACAAAAACAAAAATCACACCCTTTGGGTTGTGACACTCACAAAGGGTGTTAAAACTAAATTTTCAATATTTGAAAATGTTCTTGAGGTTCTTCATGGATTAAAAACTGGAATATATAGCAATGACACAATCTTCATAACAGATCTGTTGTATTACAATAGGCAATTTTAAGTAGGAGGCAAATATAAAACTAGGGGTATACAACTGAAGATTTTTTTGGGCCAATACCAATGGCCAATTATTAATGAGCCATATTGGCTGATACTGATCCGATTGCAGATATGCAGCCCACGGGTGCTTGTGGGACAGAGCTGCAAGCGGCTTGTCCAGGGGGCATGGGGAGGGAGGGGGGTGGCGGCTCCTGCTGCTGTGTGCACCCCCGGGGCAGGCATAGGGGTCATGTGCCCCCAGATCTGTGTGTGGGGCAAGGGCAAGCTGCCACTGCAGGCTGGGACCAGGGGCTGCACTGGGCTCTTCCTGGTGCAGGGGTTGGGCTGGGGCTGCACTTGTGGCGGGTGACTGTGGTGCCGGGACTAGGCCTGTGAGGTGGGTTCCCCTGTAGACCTCCCCTCCCAGCACTGCTGTCACCTGCCCTGAGCACACGCCCAGCCCACCAATCCCACTGGGAACAGCCCAGTACAGTCCATGGCTCCAGTCTGCCCATCCTTGCTCTATGCACAGATCTGGGGGGCTAATTCCCCCTGTGTCTGCCCCAGGGGTGCATGCACTGGCAGGAGCTGCCCCCACCCTCTCCCCGCAGCTCCATCCTGCGCCCCGCCCCAGCTGAGCAGTGCCTGCCCCTGTCCCAGCCCCAGCCCCAGCCCCAGCCCCACTCCCTCCCTCACAGTGGAGTCCCTTGATCTGCCCCCCCCCACCTCTTCCCTCCCCTATGCTCCTTCACCTCAACAGACTTACCAGCTGGATTCTGCTCTCCAAGCTCCTGGGCTGGCTGCATGACTGCTGCAGCTGTGCGCATTCACACACCACTTATTGGCAGCACTGTCAGCCACATCAGCCAAAAAAGCTGATTGCCAATAATGTCAATTTTCCTTTTATCGGTGCTGATCTGATATAGACCAATGTATTGGTGCACCTCTATATAAAACAAATGCCTTCTTTATTATTATGGTCGATGCATGCTGTATTCGCAAAAACATTGGCTGAATGAGACTCTTCTAACATTTGAATTATTGGTTGCATAAAACCTCTAAGCTATATATGCATAAACAATAGTTATCCAAATTTTATTACAGTTTCATATGAATCTAGTACAATTTCAGCCTCTCTTCTGGATATTTGCTTTTATAAACTCTTCTCGTTCAGATGAGGTAGAAATATGTATTTATGATTTTTTATATATATATATATATATATATATATGTACATGCACACACATGCACATGAATGCGCATGTATGCGCACACCCACATAAATCAAATAGCTGAAAATTGTTTCCTAATTTCACTAATTTACTTACAGCTCATAAGTTAACAGTTCAGTGCCCAAAAGGACCATTTAATCATTTAGTTTAACCTTTTTCATAAAATAAGCACTTGAACTTTACCCAGATACCCCTATCTCTAATTCTATTATATATATTTTGACTGACTCAAGATTGGAGTAAAATTATCCAATATTTTAGCTATGTTTAAGACCTCGTTTTAAAATGTAGTAATTATAAGTGAGTAGTCTTAGTTCAACTGCCTGGTTGAGTCTCTTCATCAATTTTGGGGCTGTTTTCTTACCAAGGCAGTTAAAATCTGAGCCCTCCAAGTTTGTCATGCATATCTAAACTCTAGCACAGCGTTTCCCAACTGGTGTGCTGTCAGCCACGTCCAGGTGTGCCACGGAATCTTGGAGGGGGCGGGGGGGGCTTCCGGGGATGTGTGACTACAGGCAGTAATGCCACTGCCGCCCCGTACTGTCACTGCGCCCCAGCCAGCCCTGTGCCAATACCCCCCTTTCCCTGCTCTCTGTTTGGCCGCTTGCCAAGCGCCCCCCTTCAGTGTTCAGCCCCCCCGCCTTGGCTTGGCATTTGGCTGTTTGCCACCCCACCCCCTGCATTTGGCTGGTGTGCTGAGGGGCAGAGAAGGCCGGGTAAGTGTGCCGTGGAGCGGAAAAAGTTGGGAAATGGTGCTCCAGCACAACATTAGACTTCATCTACTTGGGAACTACAAATAAACCTGACACTGTCGTCCTTCAGAAGTGGATTACATTAAAGTAATACAATAAATTAAGAAATAATAATACTAAATTTTTGTTTGAGTATTTGCTGAGGTAGTAGCAATTAAAATAGACATTTTTCCAAGAATTAATTACTTTTCAGTTTATTAAATATGGTGTTAAAAAGGCATTTTAATTGTCTGTTGTGTTTAGTGGAAAAAGAGAAAACTGTACGAAAACACTCTGGTGACAATAGTTTCAAAATATTTGTAGTATTCCGTAGGGAGTTCATTTGTCTGCCAGTATTTAAAAAGGCTCTGCTGTGAAGGTTAACTTAATCTCACAAGTAGTCTGTATATTTGAAATTCTTAGCATACATAGATATAGACTTATGTTAAAATATTTGTTTATCTATCTGTGTGGCTGAATTTATATTTGTGTTCCTGTTCTGGTCTTCTTGAGAAGATACAGATTTTTCATCAGGCTTGACAATTAAATGTTGATGATCTATTTTTTGTTGCTTTTAAATACCTTATCTCTAAATGTTTTAGTTATTCCCATAGTATGTTTTCCTGGCTGCTAGAATAACAGCTTGGAGCAAACTGATACACTCTTCAGGTAGAAGTCTAAGAGCATCACTTTTATAGTGCTTCTATTACCAACTTCCCAGTGATCATGGTTATTGAAGTTGCTGTAGAAGTTTGCTGTGTTCCATTTATGATTTTGAAGGCTTTATAAAAGTAACACTCTGATTAACTTAATCCATGGTCTGCTTCTGCTGCTTGTCTCTGCATTCTTCTTAACATATTTGAGCTGAAAGACATGCTGCTGCTCTGAATTAAAAAGGGAAGTGAAGAGATTTAGCTGCAGAACACAGTTCTTTCCATGCTACTTACTGTAGTAAATCTTTTTGTTTGTGTTCTGCAGAGATTTCAAAACTTTGATCTCTGAGAAAGAAGTACTTGTGCTCACCTGTTCCTCTCAAAACTCAGTTCAGCCTTTGTTTACATCTGTCAGGACTGAATAGAAATCAAGTCCTGTACCAGGTATCAGCTGATACATGACCCTCCTTTGATAAGGTTTCTTTGGGATTGTTTTGTCTGTTCTTGGGCTTATGTACTCACAATTCTCAGTCATGGGGGATGCACTTGTGTGTAGAACTGAATGTTGGAAACAGCTTCTCTATCTCGGATTCAAAGGTTAAGTTAATCGCAGTGGTCATTGCTTTAAAGACACGGTGGTTTTAGGGAAAAGTTTTTTTTAAAAGAGATTCTGAGGATGTGCTGTGTTCTGTTTATGCTGACCTTGCTATTATGTTTATGTTGATGTTCCCATGTTGGCTTCACTTCTTATTGTTTTTTTTTAAGATTGTACATTTCCAGGATAGCAATGTCAACTTTATATATGGAATCACCTTTATGTATATATATCCTCTCCCTTTATATAATATATACTTTTCTCCCTTGTATATAAGGACATTCTATATATACGTGTAACATATACACACATACATGTGCACATGCCCCTTTTTCTGTCCTAGAAATGCCTGTGTATGTAATATTGTAAATATTGGTTAAGTTCCTCTCTCTAGATCTCGAAATTACAACTAGATTTTTTTTTCTTAATATATATTCTTAGATTGTGAAGTGGTCAGACTATTGTTCACCTTTGGCCTATAAATCTGGGGAAACATTTAAATTAATTGCCAAAGCAAGTGTGGATAATTTCAGTAACCTTGGAATAGCATTCATGGAAGACAGACTTCAAATGGATAATGGAATGGTGCCAAACAAGATTGTTTGTAAGTATCCTCATAAATCTTTTTATCTAGTGCAGCATACTAGTTTTACACTTATAAGTTCAATACATATATACAAATAAAAATACTTTTGTCGTATTAATAGATGTTGTCCAGAAGGACAGTAAGTTGCTCATTTCAAAGAGAACATTTTAAGTTTCTTCCACTTAACACCTAACGCATAGAGAAAATTGAAATATGTTGTTCAAGTTTGCCTGACTTGAGATTTTATGAAGTTTATTACAAATTTGTATTAGAAATGCTAGCCAGAAAATTAATTGTTCAAGAAATCTTCAAAATAATACCATATTTATCCATTTATATTTAAATGCCCAGGTCATTACTGTGTCATACAAAAGCCAAAGTTACTGTCAGCAAAAATTTAGATGTATGACAACGTCCCTGAGGACATGAGATGCTGTAGCACAATTTTTTAGAAAAGTTAATGTAACAGTTGCAAAGATCAAGCTGACTAAATAATTTTGGCATATAATTTATTTACTGAAATGTTGCTTTGGTTAACAAATTTCAGCCTAATTGTCTGAATAGCTTGATCTGGAAAGATTTCAGGACTATGCTATCAAAACTGGAAAAGAAAATGGCAATTCTACTTTTATACCATAACATCTTAAGTGCTCTATCTGATCTGTGCAATTGAGAGTATCCCCTCCCAGAATATTCGATCTAAACTATTTTTGCTGTTCTGCTGGTTTAATTGTTTATACAGTCTCTGAGCCATAAACCAATTTCCAGGAAGCTTGAATCCTCCCATGACACCACTTCAGGCTTGAGCTTATCTGGAGTAATTGAATATCTGTGGGTTTCATGACTCCCTTTAGTGGTTGAAACTCCATTCATTGGAATAGGGACTTGCAACCTAGGTCCTGATTACAAGATCATAGAATCATAGAAGTAGGGTCGGAAGGAACCTTGTAGAACTTCAAGTCTGACCCCCTGGCTGGGCAGGAGAGAAACTGGGCTCAAGTGACCCCAGCCATGTAGGCATCGAGCCACTTCTTGAAGACCCCCAGAGTAGGAGCCAGCACCACTTCCCTTGAAAGTTGGTTCCAGATCCTAGTCGCCCTAACTGTGAAGATAGTTTTCACTGTTGCTGTTTGGATTACTGAATATTCATATCTTGGTAGTAAAGCTCCAGCACACATAATTGAGGGTTACCCATCTTATCTTGCAACATGTTGCCTAGGACATTCCTCTAAAAGGTGGGATCCCTTAGAAGGAGCCAGCAACTAGGGGTGTGCAAAGCGGGCCGTATTCAGTTTGGATTCAGAAATGGCCTGATTCGGGGGACAGTGATTCGATTCGTTGATTCAGATCACTGTCCCCAATTTGATTAATCTGAATCCAAATCTGAAGATTCGATGCTGATTCAGAGAATCAGCGATTTAGCCATAGACACATCTTTAAATGTTTTTTCTACATACCTCGAGGCGTGGCTCATAAATGCTGTGATGCTGGGGTTGATGGAGTGTCCCACAGGTGCATGGGAGGCCCCCCGCGTGCTTGGCGGTGAACCTGGAAGTGGACCAGAACTACTTCTGGTCCACTTCTGGGTCTGCTGGGGGGTCCCCTCCACAGTCCCTGGCTTGGTGATCGGTCACAAGGGGACACTGGGTGCTCCCCCTCCCCCCCGACCAAGGAGGCACCAGTTACCAGTGTGTGGGGCCCCCATGCACGCTCCCCAGTGGACCTGGAACTGAACCGGAAGTGCTTCTGGTCCACTTCTGGGTCTGCTGCCGAGTGCGCTGGGGAGCCCCGCGCGCTCCCGTGGGACACTCCATCCGCCCCAGCATCTCAGCATTCGCAAGCCACCTGGTACCTTGAGGTATGTAGAAAAAACATTTAAAGCTGTGTCTATGTCTGAATCTCCGAAACTTTCCGAATATCTCTGAATCAATATGGAGGGTTCTGATTTGATTCAGAGAGATTAAAGGGTCTCCTGATTAGATTCGGAGATTTGGCCACCAAATCGGGCCGAATGTCCTCTGAATCAAATCGGGGACCGAAGCTTTGCATAGCCCTACCAGCAACCTATGGCTCACAGGCTGGATCTGGCCTACAGAGCCATTTTATCTGGCCTGCAGAACCAGGAGCCAGCATTTCAGCAGTCGGGGCTTTTGTGGTGTTGTGGGGGAGGGGGAGAAGGGTCTTTCACCCATGTGGTGGGGAGAAATGGCAGTAGCAGCACTTGGTGGGGAGGGGGGGGAGTGGTGACTGCAGTTACAGCTCTGGCAGCAGCTTAAGCAGCAGTGATACAGGCGAGGTTGCCAGCCCCTACCCTAGATTAAATGTCTGCCCTTATCAGGCAGTTTAGGATATTGTGAACAGAAGAGGTTTAGGGCATCCAGTCCCAGAATATATTTCAGCATGGTGGCTGGTATATTGTCTTGAGAGGGGGAATATGTGGGCTCAGGTACCTTGAGGCAGAAGAAACTATACCTACATCTCCCACGTACTGGGTAAATGCTCACAGTTTACTGGGCTATTGCATAAAGGGGAGGACATCACCACTTTTCTTCTTCCTGTTAATTTAGCCTTAGTTTTCTTTGATTTTCTTAGGCGTGCCCAGAAAAGAAATGTTTAATTCACTACAATGCCCTGTTCTGCTTTTTGTTGTCAAGAAAAGTGAAACTAATTAAAATGTTTGGAGTTTGAAACATTTTTCTTGTTTGTTTAACTGTAGGAATGAAAAAAAATTGCATGACCATGCAAAAAAGTAATTTTCTTTCCATTTCCTCATTGTTCTGTAAATTTTATGGTGACACTTTTCTGCAGTGTCCCTTCTGTTGGATCAGAAATATTTTTTTCCTATTTTTGTATTTCCATTGTTAACTTTAAACCAGTTCTGATTAGTTTTTTACTTTCTGCTTTTCTGGGTCATTATCTGTTCTGGTCCAAGAGCTTAGAGCTATCCTTTTCTTACTGCAGAGCAAAGATAATTCATACTTTTCCATATCTTCATAACTTTTGCCCCCCAAAAGTACAAAAAAACCTTATGGCTCAGTGCTTCTACCATGTTCATTATCATCCAAGTTTATACAGCTTGTTTTGGAACAGCAGTGAGCAAAGTTTCCATTCTGTTCCTCAGTCTGGACCAGTATTTTTTATGGCTTCATCCATCACTTTTTTTGCTTTTCTTCAATCAGAGTGGAGCAGGCCAAATTGAGTGAACTATACTGAGTGAACTAAAATATGCTTCATCTGCTAGAAGCACCTCGCAGGAAAGGCATAAGGGATGTCCTGCTTCAGCCATTTCCAAATTATGAACCTTTGTCCAGGCAGAGAAGTCAGGTCTAGATAGATAGACACTGCTCTGTGCTTGTCCTTTCACAGCATCTGGAACTTGAGTTAATGAAAGCATATCTTATTTAGTTACTTTGAGGTACATATCTACTCTACCTTCTGCCTTGCATATTTGAACCATGCATCCACAGTCAACATTGACTTCAGTGTAAAAAATGGTTGTTCATTCCCTCTAAATGTCTCAAGTTAGCCTTTCAAAATCAAAGACAATTGAAATTAGAGGTTATATAATGAATCACTGGCAGAGTTAAGAACAGAACATTTGGCTTCCAGCCTGAATTCTGTATAAATTCCCAGCACCTCAGGTAAACGGGCCGAGTTCACTGCGTTTCAGGGAGTGGGTAGTTCTTAGTTTCTAAAATGAGAAAACTTCTAGTAGTATAATGAGTTGTTCTGAAATTAATTGAAAATCACCTTGAATATCAAGGCTGTTGATACTCAACATTACTATTTTTATATATTTTATATAATTTTTCTCTCTCAGCTGTTCATTTACAGGAATCTGCTCTTAAGAAGTTAGAACAGGTGGCCTCAGCTGTGGAAGAGAAGAAAAGTGCTAATGGCACAGAAATGGAAGAACTGACCCCTGCTATACCTTTAGAGTCTACTGCTGAATATGAATCAGATGTAGCTGATCCTCCAGGAGGAGGTGGTGAAGGGATGCAAGCAGAGAGATCCAAGCTAGAAAGAGGACATGAGTCTCAGGATGAATCTAATAACCTTCCTGATAAAGAAACAGGTTTTGGAGAACACCACCATCTTCATCTTTCAAGCTGTCATGAGTGCTTGCAACTTGAAAGCAGTACCATTGAGTCAGTAAGATTTGCTTCTGCAGAAAACATTCCAGAACTTCCTGATGATTGCAGTGGCAGCTTGGAAGAAGTTACTGATGACTTTCTGGCAAGAGACATAAAAAGAATAAATCTTAGTGGGAAGCCTCCTAATATTTTGGTTTATGTGGGTTCTGACTATATGAAAACAAAATTTGAGCAGATAGAATCAATCCTCAAGGAATGCATTGATCCAGACAATTATGTAATCTACCCGTTGCTGGAGAAGCAAATTCTGAAAGTTCCATGGCTTGATAACTCTTTGTTGTTGGTCATTGCCACAGAGGAACCCATTTCTGAGGACAATCATAAACAATTTCTGACCTTCTTGTCAAAAGGTGGAAAGATTTTAGGACTTTCTACCTCTTTTACTTTTGGCAGTATAAAAGTGAAGAGCAAAAATGAACTGAATAAGACCATCCATGAACTGGTGGTCTTTAAAGCAGACAACACTGAAGTTAAATTAAACCTTTTGACTAGTGGCAGTGTTTTTGAGGAGGATGTTCAGGAAGATATCAAGAAAGCAAGGCCACTGAGTCGCTTAAATAATCCAGATAAAGATATAGTTATTATTCACCTGACTTATGGAGACATTAGAGGAGAAGCCATTCTTTGTCAGGTATGAAGTGTATTAAGACCTAACTTACCTTTTTGCTGTAACATGAAAGAGTTGCAGTGCTGAATTTCAATAGATTTTTCCATCGAAAGCTATTTTTTTGGCCTCTGTAATCTACAAACAAAGGCAAAGCACCCTTCTGTATTTGCTCAAATACAAGTTGAGATTTCCCACCCCCCAAATCTGCATGGGGCAAAAACCTCCTTGTCTTACAGTTGCATACAAATAAAATCATTAAATACTAGAGGTGCACTGATACATTGGTCCCATATTCAATTGGCACCAATATAAGGAAAATTGACAGTATTGGCAGTCCCCTTTTTTTGGCTGATGTGGCCAATGATGTCAGTGATAAATGCCACGTGCATGCATGCAGCTGCAGCACAGCATGCAAGTGGCCAGGAGCGCAGCCCGGCAGTGTGGAGAGCAGCCAGGTCAGGTTGGTAAGACCTGTGAGGGAAGGGGTGTGCGAGGGGTCCGGCAGATCAAGACTCCTGCGGTGAGGGAGACAGTGGGGCTGGGGTTTAGGCAGACGCTGCACATCAGGGGCCGGACAGAGCTGCGAGTGGCTCATACAGGGGATGTGGCGGGGTGGGGCTAGGCACACCCTGGGAGGGCATGGGTGGTGTGTGTGCCTGGATTGGTGCATGGGGCGATGGTGGGCTGCCGCTGCAGGCTGGAACTGGGGGTAGTGACAGGTTCTTCCTGGTGGGGGGGGGCTGGGCCTGGCTTTGCTTGAGGAGGGCAGCAGCAGTGCTAGGAGGGGGATTGCGGGGAGGGGCGGAGGGGTGAGAGCCCCCCCCCCCAACCCTCACTCCCAGCACTGCTGCCACCCACCCCGAGTGCAGCCCAGCCCTGTCATCAGGAAGAGCTTGGCATTGCCCCGGCCCCAAGCTGCCCTTGTCCCACGTGCAGATCTGGGGGCACATACCCTCCCGGGGTGCGCGCAGTGGTGGGAGCCACCCCCCTTCCCCACAGCTCTGTCCTGCACTCTGCCCCAGCTGTGCAGCCCTAGCCCACTCCCTCCCTCACTGCTTGGGCCTCAGTCTGCCCCCCCTCCCCACACCCCTTCCTTCCTCCCTCGACCCTTCCTTCCTCCCTCGCCCCTTCTCCCCCAACAGACTTACCAGCCAGATGCCGCTTTCTGTGCTGCTGGGCTGCATATTGGCAATTGGATCGGTATCAGCCAACATGGCTTATTAAAAATTGGCCATCGGTATCAGCCCAAAAAATCTCTATCGGTACACCCCTATTAAATACATTGCCTATCATTAAACTGCTGCCAAGCAGCATGTGCTCAGTAATAGAAACCAACTAAATGGATTAAATGCAGGCAACACTGAGCATGACTATATAACGCATGACCCCCCCCCCCATGAGGTAAACATACAGATGGGAACTTTTTTATTATTATTATTATTATTATTTACAAATTTTATTTAAAACACACTCCACCCTGAACTTGCAAAGCTTCACATATTGAGCATTTTTGTTTTAACAGCATTTCATATTGCAAACACTACATATCCAAAAACATACAGCTACATATATTAAACTCTTAAACAACATACATCAGCTTCCTCAAAAAAAACTCATACAGAACTCTTTTCCTTCATATAGAATCCCATGAAAAACAGTTACCTCAGTAACCACCTGAAACTCTCGACCCCTCCAATCAGTCCTCTCTGTTGGTTGAGTGAAACAAGTACAGTATGTCCTATCCTTTTTTTTCTTCACTTCTCCACTTCTTCTTCTCTGATCTCTTCCTAGTCCCGTTTGATGTAGTATTTTAGTTCATGCAGCCCCAGCTTCAGATCCATTCTTTCAGTGAAAATTGACTCTTTAAAAACTCAGAGGTTTCTTACTTTCCATAAACTAGTTTTAACACATGCTAATAAAGTCCTTAATAGCATTTCCTCCAGTCTCTTTGGTATGAGTCCATATAGTACCATCTCCTGTGCTATCGGTTTATTTTGGTGACACTCAGAAAGTGGCAGATTCTTTCCCACACCCCTTTGTTATATGTACATTCCCAAAACACATGTCCCATGGTTTCTTCTTCCCTGCACTTCTCCGTTGGGCACCTTGATGAACTCATCAAGCTTTATCTGTGTTGCATCTCTCTCACTGGCAGGATATTTTTTACAACCATCTATGATAGGTCAGCATGTTCTCCTTTTAGTTGTTTACTCACCACTGCTCCCCACACCTTCTTTACTTGTCCTTCTGTGAAGTTTCCCTCCAGTGCCATCCTGTCTCTTTCTCTTACTGCTTTCATGAATTTCTTACAGACTTTCTGGACTGCCAGCCCTACCTTCCCTATTTCTGCATGAAACCTTCCATCCTGGTGCAATGAATCCATGCTTACCACACCCATAGACTCTCGAAGAGGTTTGATATATTCCTCATTTCCTCAAAATTGCAGCTGCATGAAATCCAGTGATAAATATTGCTTTCCTCTTTCCCTCTGATACCACCATGCATACTGTGTTTACATAGTTGGCATAGATGAAGAATCCCAAGTCTGGCAGCCCACATCCCCCAGTTTCTCTTGCTTTTTGCAGTTCTGCGCTAGCCAACCTTTCTCTTTTGGCATTCCATAAGAACACACATTTTCCTCTGTACTTTTGCTATCTGTTGCCACATGTATAGAATAATTGGCAGTAACCCAGCGTTAACTGCCACCACTTTTCCAGCAAAGAACAGCATCCTTCCAGACCATAACCAAAGTATTTGGTGTATCCTTGCCATCACCTTTTTCCATGCTGTATCACCTTTCCTCTCAGCATCCATCCTAGGATCTCCCCTAGCACTTTTAATTTCTCTCTCTCTTATTTGAAGGCCCAACTTCTCCAACTCCCTCCAGTTCTGCACTCCTTTCGATCTATTTAGTTTAGTTCCCATCGCTTCTCCATACTCTGTATGCTTTAGCACCCTTTCCATAGAAGGGTGGAAAGGTGCACCCTTTCCATTCTATCTCTAACTAGTACTTTCATATTATCCATGTATAATATGCATTTTACCTCACCCCCTACCAGTATCTTTACTCTCCTTATGACCTTGTCTTTTCTTATTCTTTGTGCTAATGGTTCAATGCCACACACAGATAGTGGTGATGGGGCACCCTTGCCTCACTTCTGTATGGATTTTTAAGGTCCTACTTAGATGATCATTAATTTGGACTTGACTCTGCCTTTCTATACAATAGCCTTATTCAACACACAACTTTCTCTGGGAACCCCATTTTCCTAGCACTTCAAATATGTAATCATCATGAATCATGATCCACTCTGTCATACTTTTTCTAAATCTAGGTTTGCTATAACTGTGTTTGTTTTCCTGTCTTGGATGTGGGACAGTGCATCTGATCTCTCTGATAATTTTGGAGATCCTTTTACCTGGTACTGTGCATACTTGGTCTTCATGTATTATCTTCTGGAGGTTTTTCCTCATTCTGAAAGCCAGTGTCTTGGCTGTTAACTTATAGTCCATATTAAGGAGTATAATCAGTCTCCAGTTTTTCAAGAGTTCCTTTGCTCCTTTCTGGAAGAGTAAGATCACAATGCCTATTGTAAAATCTTTTCCTGCTTCCCCTGTTTCCGCTTTTTCCTCAAAAACTTCCATTCTATCCCTCTCTATTTATCCTTAAAACTTCTCATAAAATTTCATAGGTCTGCTCCTGGCGATCTCCCTCTTAAAGGTTTTTAAACACTCCTTGACTTTCTTTAAGCTTATCTTTTCTTCCATCTTTACTTCTTCCTCCTCTACTTTCTCTTCAGTCTCTTCCAGCAAATCCTTCATCTTATTCCTGTCTATCTCCTGCTTCTGATATAGCTCTTCATAAACTCTTCACATTGCCTCTAACACCTCCTCCTGCTTTTCCACCTGGTACCACCTTCCTGCACTGCTTTTAATTTTCCTTTTGCTGTCTTCACTGTAGCCAAAAAGTGTAAGGATCACTCTTCATTTTCTACCACCGAGGGTGTTTGTGCTAAAAACATGTTTCTCTCATCTTTCTTTTAAACCAGCTTTCTATCTCTTGCTTTGTTTCTTCTAGTTCTTGTTGTACCTGTCTTCCTTCAGCTCCTTTTAGGAGCTCCTGCATCTTTTTTGTAGCTCACTCAGATCTTTCGTTCTTTTCCGTTTTTGGCCTTCCTTCCTTCCTTCCTGAAGAATTATCCCATCCTCCTCTTCATCATCCACCATTCTCTGATACTCTTAAAAATATTTCTTTAGTGTTCTCCACCCCTTATGCTGTCTTGTGTACCTTTGACATACCTCCTTATCTTGTAAGAGTTGCGCATTTAAATTCCTCACACCCCTTTTCCTTATGGGGCTTTTACCAAGACTCAGTTCTGTGTTCAGCATCTGGTGATTAGTAAATGCTGCACATATGGTTTCTTTCTTTCTTCCTTATCTCTGTTTATTTTGATACAAAGTCAGTTCTTGATTGTTCCTTTCCACAGGAGTCAGTTCTAATGAAAACTTTCTCCCTTGCCCACGCATCTCTTAATGACTCTTTAATTAATTATATTTGTAACAATCTGGATGAACTGTCTAAAGGTCTGCCTCCTCCTTTCCTTGTTCTGTCACCTCCTTCTGTTATGTAGTTGAAGTCCCCCACTATTATCAGTGGTCTCCCTCTGACCACATAAACTGCTTTCTAAGCAGAGCCTTCCTCCCCTCACTCTAGTGATGCATATACATTGAAAACTTCTAATTCTGCTCCCCTGGGTGATGTTATCATTCGCTTCAGTCTACAACTGATGTCTTCTACCTTCTGTGCTTCCACCTTTGGGTTCTTGAATAGCATTGCCCCTCCAGCTGCTTTGTTGTCAATTGTCCTTGGCCATCAAGATGGTCTCCACTTCTGCCTCTTCTCAAAACATTTATAATCCCTCTCCCCCAGTATACCACATTCTTGTAGGTAGATTATGTCTGCCTTTACTTGATTTAACATTGGTTTGACCTGTTCCCATCTCTTCCTTGTTAAGACATTCCTGACATTTAACTGAAGCTATAATCAGTGCAGTTGCACTTGTGTTAAACTGAGTGCGCCTGTCTCTTTGCGAATCATCTGTGCCGCTGCTTGTCATGGTCAGCTCTGGCCCCTCCCCCCCATGCCTGTTTCTCTTGTTAGCTGCCTGCTTGCTTTTGCAGCTAGGAAGGCTTCCAGTTTCCTGCTGCACCCCACCTGGGGTCCAGTCATTTGGCTTTAATGCTGCTTGAGTCCTCCAAGACCTGTCCAAATACCATAGTTGTCCCTCATTTTCTTTATCCACAGAACTCATTGCACATATTTTTCCAGACCTCTCTCTATGTCTGCTTCCTTTGATGTATCCACATACATTCAGACAATAATCACTCT